AGGCCCTCCTTAGTCACGGTCAGTGAGGTGCGGCTGTGTGACAGGGTGATAGGTGGCTGGGAGGGGCTGCTGCCGTGGCGCCACACATTCAACATCTGCTGGCCAGGCCGTGTCGCACACAGGAGGAAGCGGATCCTGGCTTCATCTCACACACACGAATTTCCGCAAGGGCAGAAGTCTGAGTGGAGCAAGATGCGTTTAAATGGAAAACCTCCTGAGTCCGGAAGATGCGTCGAAGGGGGACTTGCGAGCACAGTGCAGGGGGACAGACAACAGGCCAGGATTAGCCAGAGATCTGGGGCGGGCACCCTGCTCCTGGTCAGACACGAAGAATAAAAAGCAAACAAACAAAACAAACCTCCAGAAGGGCGAGGAGAATGGGGGAGAGAGAGACAAAGAGAGAGGAAGGGAGGTGGAGGGGGAGAGAGAGAGAGGCGGAGAGGGAGAGTGGAGGGGGAGAGAGAGAGGGAGAGAGAAGGAGAGAAAAAAAGAAGGGGGGAGAGAGAAAACAGAACTTGTGTCTTTCTTTTTAAAGGGGCAGAGGCGGCGCCGTGGCTCACGTGGCTAATCCTTCCCTTGCAAGTGCTGGCATCCCACATGGGCGCCAGTTCTAATCCCAGCTGATCCACTTCCCACCCAGCTCCCTGCCTGTGGCCTGGGAAAGCAGTGGAGGACGGCCCAGAGCCTTGGGACCCTGCACCCGCGTGGGAGACCCGGAGACGCTCCTGGCTCCTGGCTTCGGATCAGCTCAGCTCCGGCCGTTGTGGCCCCTTGGAGAGTGAATGAGCAGCCAGATCCTTCTCTGTCTCTCTGTCTCTCTTTCTGTAAATCTGTCTTTCCAATAAAAAGAAATAAATCTTTCAAAGATGTTTATTAACTCCCTGCTGGGACGTAGCTCCTGCCCTGGACGTGTGATTCAGTCCTGGGAGTTGGTGAGGCCGGGCGAGGCAGCTCCACCTGTTAGCAAGTATGTGGGCTGGTTCTGGAGAGGTGTGGACCAGGTAGTGCCGGGCCAAACCTTAGTTCACTGGCATGTGCAGGAGCCAGGCTGGAGTGTGGGTCACTCAGGCTAGGGTATCACGCTTACCAGTTTTGTTTGTTGCGTGAGCCAGGGATGGGAGCAGACTGGGCAGAGCTAGGCTGCAGCGCCTGCCAGGGAGGGTCGGGACTGGGAGGTGAACCGGGCCAAGCCAGGCTGCAGCATCCGATGGCAATGGCCAAAACAGGGTATGGGCATGAGCAGGGTCAGGGCAAGCCTGGCACACACAAGATCTGTGGCTGGGAACAGGTCTGGTAGGAAAGTTAAGGAGACAGCCAACTATGTTGTGGATCCCACTGGTGATTGTGAGAGCCAGAACTGGGGCACTGCTCTGGGCGGGATATGCCTGCTGTGTCCCTCGGCATGAGTGTGGACTGGGTCCTGGGGCGCCAGACTGGGCTCGACTCCAGCACACACAGGTGCTTGTGAGAGCCAAAGTGGGTGTGGCACAGGCTGGGCTAGGTCTCGGCTCCCATTGGGTCAAGTGAGAGCTGTGTCAGGGCGTGGGCCTGCTGTGGCTGGGCTATAACACGCAACAGTGTTACGATGGGTGTGGGCTGGTTGGGCAAGGACACTGTTTTTGCCAGGACAAGAAGTGAACCAAGTCCGTCTGGGCCGAGGACCCGCTGGTGTGTGCGAGATCTGCCACTGGGAAGAGACCTGGTGGAGGAGCTAGGGGGACTGCTCTGTCAGGATGCAGTCCCGAGTGCAAGCACCACGGCTGGGAGCGGCCCAGTCCAGGCCAGGTGACAGTACCTGTCAGTAGCATGTGGCTCAGGTCTGCGGGCGGGCCGGGTTAGGCCAGTCCATAGCACCCACTGGCAGATCTGAGAACCAGGATGGGATGTGTGACAGGCCAGTTCAGACGCCAACACCGGAGAGTTCACGGAGCTGGGACTGGGGGGTGGCGAGGCTGTGCTAAGCTGCAGCACCCACCAGCATGAGCTGGAACTGGGGGCAGGCCGGGCCAAGCCAGGCTGCAGCATCCGCTGGCAAATGTTGAAGTGAGGAGGCGGGTCTTGCCAGCCTGGGCTGCAGCACCCACCAGCACAGGTGAGACCTGGGTGGGGGGCACAAGAACCAGGGCTGGGGACAGGCCTGGCTGGACAGGTGATGGCACAGCACACGCTCGCATGAATGTGGAGTGAACAGTGCGGTTGGGTGGGTTGAACTGGGCTCCAACGCCCATTGATGTGTATGAGAGCAGAATGGGGTACGGGACTGGACCAGTCAGCTGCACACACTGGAAAGCATAGGAACCAGGGCTGGGGCCTCGTGTGGGTTACCGGGGGTCGCTCTGACTAGGCTGCGTGCAGCTCCTGCTGGTGCATGCGAGGGCTGAGTTGCGGCGGGCAGGGTTAGGCTAGGCTGGGCTGCAGCATCCATCGGTTTACGTAAGAGATGGGGCTGGTGACAGATTTGCCTTAGCAACTGCAACCACCAGTGTGTGCACCGGCTGATGTGGGTGATGCACTGAGCCGGACCCTGCACTGGCTGGCACACACAGGAGTCAGCTCTGGGGTCACCAAAGACGAGGCTTCTTTGGGGATTCCCCTCAACTGAAGCACTCCAACCACAGGGAGAATGGCAGGATCCGTGGTCCATCGTGGAGTGTGTGTGTTGGAGCTGGGATTCTTCGGTGGCTTAGACAGAGCAGTGCGTGGCATGCCCAGATGCACACGGACAGCTTAGCAATACACTGGGGACATCTGATGCCATAACAGAGGGAGGAGGGCAGAACAAATTGGACACCTACCCCAGCCAAGCAATGATAGCAAACATCTGGGTGAAGAGGTGGACTCTGTCAGCCAATGGAACTTGATGGATTTCCTCATCCTTGGATTGGCTGCCCCACTTCCCATCCAGCTCCCTGCCTGCGGCCTGGGAAAGCAGTGGAGGACGGCCCAAAGCCTTGGGACCCTGCAGGTGCACGGGATACCCGAAAGAAGCTCCTGGCTTGGGATCAGCTCAGCACCGGCTGTTGCAGCTACTTGGGGAGTGAACCAGTGGATGGAAGATCTTCCTCTCTGTCTCTCCTCCTCTCTGTAAATCTGCCATTCCAATAAAATAAATAAATCTTTTTTTTTTTTAAGAGCCAGCTGGGAGACCAAAGCTCGTGTCATCTCCAGCTTACTGTGTCTTGGAAAGGGCAGGCGGTTAGGCCAAGGCCACCGAACCGAGAGAGGCTGGACTGTTGGGCACCCCGCAGCCTCTCTGGGGCCTGAGTCCTGGCGGTGGCAGCTTCGGCCCTCAGACTGGTGCTGCGTGACCTCCCGGAGCCCTGCTCTCCACCCGTGGACACAACCAGGCTTCTGTCCAGGGTGCTTAGCTGTAACCTGAGTCCTCTCACACCCCCCAGGGCTGTGGGGTGACAGGGCGGGTGGGCAGGTGACAGCCAGGGCAGAACTATTTGCCCATACACTGGTGCCCAGCTGCCCGGGCACTGCAGACGGCGCCCAAAGAGCGGGGACGTGGCACGGAGACAGAAGTTGGGGCGGCAGGCCTGGATATGGGCAACAAACAGATGGTCTTCACCTCGCAGCAGCTGGAGGAGTTCCAGGTAGGGCTGATGACACATCTACATGTAGGCACAATGGCAACTGCGTCTGGGGGTGCAGCTGGCACAGGTGCTTAGAGGAGCGCTGGTGCAGGACGTGCTGGGATGCTCACACAGGTGTGACAGGCGTGAGGTGGGATGCCAGTGCAGGTGCGAGGTTGAATCCCAGTGCATGTGTGGGTGGGTGGAGGGAGGGCCCGTGTGTGCAGGATGGGCTTGAGGGAGCCGCACCAGCAGGCAGAGCTCCTCAAGGCAGGACCTGGGGGCTGAGCTGACAGCATCTCTCCCCGCAGGACTGCACCTTCTTCACCAGGAAGGAGATCATGAGGTCAGTACACGGAGGGAGAGAGGCCAGCTCCAGGCTGGAGGTCTTCCTGGAAACAGAGGTGCTGAGGGCAGTGGTGGGGACAGCGGGTGGGGGGACAGCGAGAGACAGGGCCGGGAAGTGATGCTGCTACAGCTGTGAGACTTCGCTTCCTCCCGGGGGCACAGGGAGCCGTGGTGCGTGTGTGAGCCATGGTGTGGGCTGGGGGTCAGCCAGACGCCCCACCCTGACCTGTCCCGGGACACAGTCAGCCATGGTGGGTGTGTGAGCTGGGGGCCAGCCAGATGCCCCACCCTGCCCTTCCTCGGAGAGCCTGGGACTGGGAGCTGGAGTGCGGGGTGACAAAAGTAGGGGGTGGTGGCCACAAGGCTTTGCAGGGCCCTGACAGGAGCCCAGCAGACGGGCATGGAGGGGCCAGTTCAGCCTGTGGAGTAAGGAGGTGTTGGGGAGACGGCTTGTTGGCATTGTCCAGGTCCTAGCCCATGAACTTAGAGCCATTGAAACCCAAGCTGGCACTGGGGGTTCGACCGCAGGGTGAGCGGGGCCAAGGCCCCACTCACTGTGGGTGCAGGAAGATTTATAATTAATGGGTGCACCTCTCGCCCACACAGGTCCCATTGTCTGGGTGAGGACAGATCAAGCTGGATGGGGGGCTGTCGCAATGGATCAGCTTACTCGTGGGGAACTGGGGCCCACACAGAGGCTGACCCCTGAGGGGGTGCTGACCCCTGGGAGCTGAGCCCTGGGGCAAAAGGCACAGAGCCCCAAGGTGTTGGAAGGTCATGAGAGAGAGAGACTGACTCAGGGCTGCCAGAAACCCAAGGCTGGGAGGTTTCCAGAGATGATCCAGTTTGGGAATGGTGTAATCGAGGCTGAATTCCAGGTGCCCACAGCACCGTTCGGGGGTGTGTGCCAGCCTTCTTGGAGACCTGCAACAGTGCTGGTCAGCTGCTGGGCACGCTCCACAGTCACCAGTCCCCCAGGCGCTCCTTCCAGGGCCAGTCAGGCTGTCTCTGTGGGCCTGAGGCCCAGGCCTCAACCCGCTGACTTTGGGGACTCAGCATCTTTCAAGGTATTCCCCCAACACCTTTCCAGACTCTTCTACCGCTACCAGGACCTGGCCCCGCAGCTGGTCCCGCTGGATTACACCAACAGCCCAGATGTCAAGGTGCCCTACGAGCTCATTAGCACCATGCCTGAGCTCAAGGTACAACTTTGGGGGGGTTGTTGTGTGGCCGTGAGGCCGAGCCCCGGTGTATAGGGGGGTGGTGAGGCCAAGCCCTGGTGTGCGTGGGGCTATGAGGCCGAGCTCAGGCCTTCATCTTGCAACCCAAGACGCCCTACGTAGGATGCCCTCAGTCCACCTGGCTTCAGGCCTCACTAGCTCCACAGCCAATAGAAAGCGAGTTCCGCCCATTCACGATGATCCCAGGCAGCCCTGGATTGGTCAGTTGGAGTCACGTGTGACACGCCAGAGCCAATCACAGTGGCTGAGAGGACAGCCTTCTAGAGGAGGGTGAGACCCTGTGTGTCCCAGGAGGTGGCCGCCCAAGGATGGCCTGTCTCCTGCTGGTCCCCAGGACAACCCCTTCCGCCAGAGGATCGCCCAGGTCTTCTCGGAGGACGGGGACGGCCACATGACCTTGAACAACTTCCTGGATATGTTTTCTGTGATGAGTGAGATGGCCCCGCGTGACCTCAAGGCGTACTACGCTTTTAAGATCTACGGTGGGTGTGCACCCTGGGGAGCAGGGCTTAGGGTGCTCCCGGAGGAATGAGGGTGCTCAGTACATGGCAGCAGCCGGGTGGCCATTGGATGCGTTGTGTAGTGGACACAAGTGTAGGGTGTTAGGAGGAGTCTGTTAGCTAGACTCGTGGAGCCACTGCACTGGGCAGCCAAAGTCAGGGGGTTTTTAATTCTCATCCTGCCATCAGATTCAGAGACATAACAGCACAAAGTTTCCATGGATTCACTTCCCTAAGTGCAAGAGGCAGGAAGGGAGCTGCCGGAGCCCAAAGTTTTCCTGTAGTTAACTAACCTAGCAAGGTAGGAGGTAGGAGGGGCCAGGTGCGTGCCAGGAGCCATGTCTCATATGCAGGCCAGGAGCCATGTCTCAGGTGCAGGCCAGGAGCCATGTCTCAGATGCAGGCCAGGAGCCATGTCTCAGGTGCGTGCCAGGAGCCATGTCTCAGGTACAGGCCAGGAGCCACGTCCCACCTGCTGGCCGCCACCTCCCCTGCAGACTTCAACAATGACGACTACATCTGTGCCTGGGACCTGGAGCAGACGGTGACCAGGCTGACCCGGGGTGAGCTGAGCGCAGAGGAGGTGAGCCTGGTGTGTGAGAAGGTGCTGGACGAGGCCGACGGGGACCAGGACGGGCGACTCTCCCTGGACGACTTCCAGAACATGATGTTACGGGCACCTGACTTCCTCAGGTGACAGCTGGCGCTCACGACCCCACGGGCTGTGACAGTGAATGGACTGCGTCGCTGGACTTGGCAGCCCTGTTACGGGGCGGGGAGGGGAGGTGGAGAATCCAAACTCCGTATCGCCAGGCTGATGGGGAGAGTGGGTGGTGGGCCGTGAATCAGCACAGCGATGGCCACAGGACTTGATGTGAGCAAAGATTATTTTTTTAATTTATTTATTTTCAATAGAAAAGTCAGATTTACAAAGAGAAGGAAAGACAGAAACATCTTCCATCCATTGATTCATTCCCAAAGTGGCCTCAACAGCTGGAGCTGAGCTGATCCGAAGCCAGGAGCCAGGAGCCTCTTCTGGGTCTCCCACACGGGTGCAGGGTCCCAAGGCTTTGGGCTGTCCTCCACTGCTTTCCCAGGCCACAGGCAGGGAGCTGGATGGGAAGTGGAGCTGCCGGGACTCAAACTGGAGCCAGGAAGGTTTGTTAATCCCAGCACTTACAGGAGGAGGGGCTGAGCCGTCCACTGCAACCCAAAGCCACAGCTGTTTCTCCACTCCACGTGAAACACTTGGTCTGGTCTGAGTCCCGGCTCTTCCATCTCGGAGGGCACGGCCCCCCTGTCACCTTCGTGGGAGACCCGGATGGAGCTCCTGGCTCCTGGCTGCAGCCTGGCCCGGCCCCAGCTGCTGAGGGCACCTGTGGGTGGAAAATGGGGTGTGTCTTTCCAACAGCTGCAATCAATAGCACTTTCAACCCACTTTACTTTCTCCTAAGCGTCTTGGGGGTGTCCGTCCTCCCCCGGGGGACCCCGCCCACTTCAGGGGCACCCCTACAGGCGGCGCTGACGGCTTCCTTCTCTCTGCACACAGCACCTTCCACATCCGCATCTGAGGCCGTGGAGCTCTGCTCTTGCCTGGTCACGGAGAGGGAGGCTGCTGGGAGGACGTGGCTTCCTGGCGGGATGGACGGAGGAAGGCCTGTGCTCCTCCCATTTTTACCTGGCTGTCCTCCCTCTCGTCCCTTCCGCTGCCCTGGCGGCCCCCATCTGCCACCATGGCGGGAGACGTGTCCCTCTCAGCTTTCTCCCCCTCCACTCCTGCTCCCGTTTCTACCCTGCTATAAATAAAATTAAACAACAGAAAAGAGGTGCCAGCGTCCAGATTTCTCTACACTGTGAAGGTGTAGGGAGATGGCTCCTTGGACACCTGGCCCCGCCCACAATGCTGAGCCCCACCCTCCGACACCTGGTCCCGCCCCTCATCTCCTGAGTCCCTTAATATCTCCATCCTGGTGGTGGCCGGACATCATCTCCACCCTGGCAGTGGCCGTGACATCATGACCACCACGGCAGGGCTGTGCCATGATGTCATCGGCTGGGATGATGACAGCAAAGCCCGCCTGTTCCCATCAGCTGCCTGTGGTGTCCAGGGAGTAGACACCCCCTCACCTTGCAGTCATTAGCAGGGGGCACCTTGAATCCAGGTGCGCCTCCTTCCAGATCCTTCCAGAACCATCTGTGGCCCCTGCACCCCCGGCAGGCCTGGATAGAGTTCCGGCTCTTGGCCCAGCACTGACTGTGGGCTTTGGGGAGTGAACCCAGCAGGTTCACACAAGCGTTCATGAATAAGTTTTTAAAAATATTTTTGTTTGAAAGGTGAAGTTATAGAGAGAGGAGAGAGATCTTCCACCTGCTGGTTCACTCCCCAAGTGGCCACAGTGGCCGGAGCTGAGCTGATCAGGAGCCAGGAGCTTCTTCAGGGTCTCCCACACCATTAGCAGGGAGCCGAATGGGAAGAGGAGCAGCCGGGACATGAACTGGTGCCATAAGGGATGCTGGCACCGTAGGCGGGAGCTTAACCTAGTACAACATGACACCGGCCCCCATTAAGTACATTTTATTATATATATATATGATTTATTTATTTTTATTACAAAGTAAGGTATACAGAGAGGAGGAGAGACAGAGAGGAAGATCTTCCGTCCAATGATTCACTCCCAAAGTGGCCACAACAGCTGGTGCTGCGCCAATCAGAAGCCAGGAACCAGGAGCTTCCTTCTGGATCTCCCATGCAGGTGCAGGGTCCCAAGGCTGTGGGCCGTCCTCCACTGCTTTCCCAGGCCACAGGCAGGGAGCTGGCTGGCAGTGGAGCACCTGGTGGCGTTCCCATAGCCATCCAGAATGCCCCAGCTCAGGGACTGGCACGGCCATGTTCAAGTTCCTGGAGCTCTGCCCTCCACCCTGCAGCCGTCCTGCTGCGCCCCAGCTGGCGCCACACCTGCCTCCTGCCACCACACCGCCAAGTCCATCTCAGCATCTTCTCTCCTGCTGGGCCAGGGCTGCATCTCGGCATCAGCAGTTCCTGGGAATGGCCAGCAGAGGGCGGCTGTGAGCCGTGGTCAGCCCTGGTCAGCCCTGGTCAGTGATGCATCTCGGCATCAGCAGTCCCGGGAATGTCCAGCAGAGGGCGGCTGTGAGCCATGGTCAGCGGTGGTCAGCCCTGGTCAGTGATGCATCTCGGCATCAGCAGTTCCTGGGAATGTCCAGCAGAGGGCGGCTGTGAGCCGTGGTCAGCCCTGGTCAGTGATGCATCTCGGCATCAGCAGTTCCCGGGAATGGCCAGCAGAGGGCGGCTGTGAGCCATGGTCAGCGGTGGTCAGCCCTGGTCAGTGATGCATCTCGGCATCAGCAGTTCCTGGGAATGGCCAGCAGAGGGCGGCTGTGAGCCATGGTCAGCGGGCTGCCCCCTTGGCCCTGCCACCCTGGCCCACACCACTCCCAACCCGGCAGGTGTCTCTCCGTGGTGGGCTCAGGGCACACGCTGTGCCCACCACCCCGAAGCTGTTCCCTCACTCACGGGGAGACCCCCACTGACGCTCCCACAGCCACCAGCCCCGAGTCATCCCACCCCCCTTTACGCTGTCCCTCCGCCCACCGGCCGGGGCCCCAGTGTCCCCAGGGAGCCCCAGCACAGTCCTGTAAGCCCTGATGGAGACATGTTCCCCCAGCGTCCTGTCACACCCTGGGGTGGCGTCACCACTGGGGGAGCATCCTAGGGTGACTTACACATGCCAGGCTGCTACAGCAGACTTGGTCCTGTGTCAAGTGAAGGGCCATGCTCTAAATGCTGATGGAGGGGAGCAGGCCGCCCCCCGGGACCCCCACATCTCCCACAGCGGCACTCGGATGCCACCCCAGGCTATTCCGTGTCCCATCCAGCTCCCCGCTGATGCCCTTGGGGAAGGCGGCCATTCCTGGCACAAATACTTGGTCCCTGCACCTACGTGGGAGACCCGATGGACCTCCTGGCCGCAGCCTTGGCTGCTGTGGGCATTTGGGATGTGAGCCAGCAGACGGAGGATCTCTCTCTGTCTCTCTTTCTCTCTCTCTCTCTCTCTCTCTCATCACTGCCTTTCCCATAAAGGTTTTCAAAAGTCCCAGTGTCACACGACAGTAGGAAATATCCGCTGCCTGACAGGTTCATGTGCTGTCTTGGTGGAATGAATGAATGAATGAATGAATGAGAGTGGTGCAAGCACCTGGAGGCTCCCACCTGCCCCTGTCCCAGGCACTGTGTGAGGTTCAAGGAGCAATTGGTGGCCACACCTGCTCCCCAGGAAGCCGGGGTGACCGTCCCCCGTGGGAGGGGAGAGGCGGAGCTGTGATGCACGCCCCCTGCCCCATGCAGGAGAAGAAGAAGGCCCTGCAGGAGGAGGAGGAGCGGGACCAGGCGCTGCAGGCCAAGGCCAGCCTGACCATCCCGCTGCTGCCCGAGACCGAGCATGACCGCAAGCTGGCTGGGCTGCTCAAGTTCCAAACGCTGGACTGTGAGTGCAGAGGGGTGCTGGCGGGGAGGGAGGGCCGGGTGGCCCCACGCTGCCTTGACGCCCCCCACCCCACCCTGCCACCCCCTCCTCCACAGCCTATGAGGACAAGCAGAAGCTGAAGCGCTCGGAGATCAACAGCCGCTCCTGGTTCGCGCCAGCAGCGGCCACAGGCCCCGGTCCAGGTCCCAGCCCCGGCTGCAGCAGCAAGGCCAACAGCGTGCTCAAGAAGCTGGCCCACAGCCGCAGGCCCGCGCCCGCCGGCCCCACCATCACCGCCCAGGACCTGGGCATCGTGCGGCTGCCCAGGCCGTCACGGGAAGACTCTGGCGACAGCCCCCCACCTGCAGCTGAGACCCCCGAGGCTGCCAAGCCACAGGAGCCAGCCTCGGCACCCCAAGATTGTTCTCAGCAGCACGTGGAGACTAAGCAGCCCAAGGCCCCAGCACCCAGGGGCCAGGAGGGGAGCTGCCGGGAGCCAGCCCCCGCCCCGACCCCGGCCCTGGCCCCTTGTCCAGCACTGCCACCGCCTGGAGCCCCCCGCGAGACGGCCCACCCCACCCCACCCCCCCAAAGCCTGGGTTCCTCCCTGGTAGCTGACTACTCAGACTCCTCAGAGAGCGAGTGAGGGCGGGGCGCCAAGGGACTAGGACTGCAGACCCCCGCCCCGCCTTCCTGCCTGCCACACCCCGGGGGCGTGTGCCTTGGGACACCAGTCCCCCCGCACACACACCTACAAGCACTGTCACTTTGCCCTTCCTCGATGGCCCAGAGCCTGCCCTGCTGCACCCCACCAAGCTCCCCCTCCCCAGTGGTCGGAGTGCCGTGGGTTTCTGGGGTTTGGCCTGGGATCCGGGGTGAGCTGCACAGGCTGAGTAGGGAGGGGTGGGGATGAAGGGCCGCGGGATGGGACCTGCCCTCAAGGCACTGGTGTGGACCTCTCCTGAGTCCCCCAAGTCCGAGGGGAGTGGACTCTGCAAGGGCGTCGTCGCTGCCTTTGCAGAAAATAAAAACACGGGTGAGAACCACCCCGTAGTATGCCTGTCTCAGCCCTGGGGCGGGAGTGGCATTTAAAAATACAGAGGGGGGACAACGGAGAGTACCCCCTGCCCCCGGAGTCAGACGGTGCTCGAGTTTGCCAAGACCCTCTAGCAGGTGGAAGCTGGCGCAGGCCCCTCTGCCAGCCACGGGATGCAGCGGCCGGAGGTTCCCTGCGCCAGCGCCTTCAGGCTGGCCTCCTGGGATTTGGGAGAAGCAGGCTGTGTGATTCCCACACACCCAGTTCTAGGGCTGCTGCGCGCCTGTGCGTCCGGCTCCGGAGCTTTCCCCGCCCAGAGACCTGGTCCCGCCCCGTTCCCGTGCGTCCCGGGCGCACGCGCTGCGGAAGGCGGCTGAGCGCGCACGGCGGCTACCGAGGCCATGGCGCTGGAAGCCATCCGCTCCTCCCGGGGCTCGCTGCACATCCTGGACCAGCTGCTGCTGCCGGGGCAGAGCCGCTACGAGGCGGTGGAGTCGGTGCAGCAGGCCTGGGAGGTCATCCGCGCCATGAAGGTGGGAGCGGCGCGGCCTAGGCGCGCACGGTGGCGGCGGCGGGGAGGAGAAGGGCCCGACGCGCAAGCCCACCGCATCTCTGTGGGCCCCGGCAGGTGCGCGGCGCCCCAGCCATCGCCCTGGTGGGTTGCCTCAGCCTGGCCGTGGAGCTGCAGGCGGGCTGTCCTGCCTGTACCTGCACCCCAACAATAAACCAGGCTGTTCCGCCCCGCGGTCTGGGGGAGCAGTGAACTGGGGCACCACCACGGTCAGGGGCCACTGGGGAGGGGGTGCTGTGGACTGGGGGTCCACCAGCGTCGGGGTTCACTGGACTTTTTTTTTAATTACATTATATTATGTGACACAGATCTATAGGCACTGGGATTCCCCCTAACACTCCCCCCATGGTGGGTGTCTCCGCCCCACACCACTCCCGTTGCGTAGCCACAGTTCAAGTTTAGTTGAGATCCCTTCATTGCAAGCATACACCAAGCATAGAGTCCAGCATATTACTGTCTGGTCAAGTTCAGTGGCTTCTTGGGGAGACCCTCCCCGGTCCAAAGGCAAAGCCAACAAAGCAAAATCCCAGTCAAGTAAAAGCCCCAACATGACATCAGCAACAATCTATAACATTAAGAGATAAATTGACACAGTATGGAGCAACCGATATGTCAAAATTGGATGCAAGGCCTTATCAACTTTGTGGGACTATTTCAATGACAATTCAACAATCAAGGAGCGAAACAGTTTTAGGAGGGGTGTGCAGAGAAATCTTGCATACCTTGGTGAGGAGTACTTAATGCCCGTGTCCTGACTAGTAAGGTGTGTGTGAGTCCATGCTGATTCTCTGCCTATCCATTCCAATTTGTGAGTGTGCATGTGTGAGTGAGTGTGTGTTGAGGGGGCTGAGGGAACGCTGGACTTTTTAAGTTTTATTTTTTTAAAAGATTTATTTTATTGGAAAAGCGGATATACAGAGAGGAGAGAGCGAGAGGAAGATCTTCCATCCGTGCGCCACCACGCCGGGCCCGAATTTTTTTTTTAATTGCAAAGTCAGATACACAGAGAGGAAGATCTTCCATCCGCTGGTTCACCCCCCAAGTGGCCACAGTGGGAGCTGAGCTGGCCAGGAGCCTCTTCCGGGTCTCCCACGCAGGTGCAGGGTCCCAAGGCTTTGGGCCGTCCTCCACTGCTTTCCCAGGCCACAGGCAGGGAGCTGGGTGGCAGTGGAGCACCTGGGGGTGTTCCCATAGCCATCCAGAATGCCCCAGCTCAGGGACTGGCACGGCCATGTTCAAGTTCCTGGAGCTCTGCCCTCAACCCTGCAGCCGTCCTGCTGCGCCCCAGCTGGCCCCACGCCTGCCTCCTGCCCACCACACCGCCAAGTCCATCTCAGCATCTTCTCTCCTGCTGGGCCTGGGCTGCATCTCGGCATCGGCAGTTCCCGAGAATGGCCAGCAGAGGGCGGCTGTGAGCCGTGGTCAGCGGTGGTCAGCCCTGGTCAGTGATGCATCTCGGCATCAGCAGTTCCTGGGAATGTCCAGCAGAGGGCGGCTGTGAGCCATGGTCAGCGGTGGTCAGCCCTGGTCAGTGATGCATCTCGGCATCAGCAGTTCCCGGGAATGGCCAGCAGAGGGCGGCTGTGAGCCGTGGTCAGCGGGCTGCCCCCTTGGCCCTGCCACCCTGGCCCACACCACTCCCAACCCGGCAGGTGTCTCTCCGTGGTGGGCTCAGGGCACACGCTGTGCCCACCACCCCGAAGCTGTTCCCTCACTCACGGGGAGACCCCCACTGACGCTCCCACAGCCACCAGCCCCGAGTCATCCCACCCCCCTTCACGCTGTCCCTCCGCCCACCGGCCGGGGCCCCAGTGTCCCCAGGGAGCCCCAGCACAGTCCTGTAAGCCCTGATGGAGACATGTTCTCCCTGCGTCCTGTCACACCCTGGGGTGGCGTCACCACTGGGGGAGCATCCTAGGGTGACTTACACATGCCAGGCTGCTACAGCAGACTTGGTCCTGTGTCAAGTGAAGGGCCATGCTCTAAATGCTGATGGAGGGGAGCAGGCCGCCCCCCGGGACCCCCACATCTCCCACAGCGGCACTCGGATGCCACCCCAGGCTGAGAACCACCCCGTAGTATGCCTGTCTCAGCCCTGGGGCGGGAGTGGCATTTAAAAATACAGAGGGGGGACAACGGAGAGTACCCCCTGCCCCCGGAGTCAGACGGTGCTCGAGTTTGCCAAGACCCTCTGGCAGGTGGAAGCTGGCGCAGGCCCCTCTGCCAGCCACGGGATGCAGCGGCCGGAGGTTCCCTGCGCCAGCGCCTTCAGGCTGGCCTCCTGGGATTTGGGAGAAGCAGGCTGTGTGATTCCCACACACCCAGTTCTAGGGCTGCTGCGCGCCTGTGCGTCCGGCTCCGGAGCTTCTCCCCGCCCAGAGACCTGGTCCCGCCCCGTTCCCGTGCGTCCCGGGCGCACGCGCTGCGGAAGGCGGCTGAGCGCGCACGGCGGCTACCGAGGCCATGGCGCTGGAAGCCATCCGCTCCTCCCGGGGCTCGCTGCACATCCTGGACCAGCTGCTGCTGCCGGGGCAGAGCCGCTACGAGGCGGTGGAGTCGGTGCAGCAGGCCTGGGAGGTCATCCGCGCCATGAAGGTGGGAGCGGCGCGGCCTGGGCGCGCACGGTGGCGGCGGCGGGGAGGAGAAGGGCCCGACGCGCAAGCCCACCGCATCTCTGTTGGCCCCGGCAGGTGCGCGGCGCCCCAGCCATCGCCCTGGTGGGTTGCCTCAGCCTGGCCGTGGAGCTGCAGGCG